ATGCCGTCACGGGGTGCGGGGGGTGGCGCGGGGGGTTCGTGCGGCGCCAGGTAGAGGATGAAAGCGACGCGGCGGTCGGCCAACAGGTCATCGTGCACCAGTAGGTGATCGCCCGGCCCATACAGCGAGCAGGAGGCAGACACGGATGTCAGCTGCAGCCCCGTCACCTCCGACACCTCCCAGACAGACAAAATATAATCATTACATTCACAAACATTAAGACATTAGTACATCACCATTTTAAATGGTCTTACCCAACTCATAACTTCAGTCTTAAGTAGTTCATAAATTCCCCTGATACTTCTCTGCCAAGTCAAGTTGGAGAGGTCAGTAGTTTGGTGGAATTCATAGAGGTCCATTTTCTTGCGTGACCAGTCCATAGTGTTCATGTCGTCCACAATGTTATTAATGATCTCCTCGTTGGCCAGCAGCTCGTGCAGCAGGCACAGGCGGAATGGGTCACATGTCAATGTCACATTGTCACTGGAATAGTCTTTCTTCTCTATCCAGTGATTCTTTAATTTAGTCTTTAGTTCTTCACTCTGCAAATGTTACGCTCATTCCATAAATTAAACTTGCTTGTTAGAACATGAACAATTTCAGCATTTTCATTTGCTTGAGTCATATTTTAAAAGATCAATAGGTTACATTTAATTAGTATAATTTACATCTTTAAAAAGGAAAACTCCAACTACATGTTAGATGATATTTTTTATTAAAACTATTGTTTGCATACTTGGAAATTGCAATAATTAAAACTATAATTTCGATTAATTTGTAATTAACTATTTAATAATTAGCTAGAGAAATGTTAAGGAACCTTTAATGAAGGATTTAATTTTGGGTCATCCATTCTGTCTGCTCTTGGGTTGAGTTGCTTTTTGATTACTTTTATCTGCACTTTGTCTTCTATCAGTAGGGAGTCATCCTCCAGCGACTCCTCAGAATCGGAGCTGTAGTCTGATGACGATGATGATGATGAGTATTCAGCTGAAAACCAAAAAAAAAATAAGAAATTCCTTAGTCTCATTTATGTGACTTTTCAAAATTTCCGCGCGAACAGCAGTTTATAGGACACTACTTACTTCCACGTATTCTTTTCACCTCATCGGCTGATGCCTGATAGGAATTTACAGCACATACATCTGAATCGTCACTTTCAGTATCCGAGATTTCTATAACAGTGCTCGTAAACGGGCGCTTGGCGGGCGGTCGAGTTTGCGACGCCGCCGTCGATGAGCTGCTGCTGCTCCCGCCATCCTGCGTTTCAGCTTGACTTGAGGATGTTGGTTCTTCACTATCTTTACTCGGCGAGTGCATTTTTAATTCTAAACACTACATAATATGTAACAAAAACAATGCGAAACAAAATGATGCGACGCCTAACCTTAAATTTTGTTGACTTTGACGTTAGATTTTTAGGATTGCCAGTTGGTATAGCTCAATAATTTCCACCGGAATGTCTTTTTCTTAGGTTTTGGTTTTTAGTTCACAAGTTTCAATCGACTAGTTTCATGAAGTAAAGTAATACTATTGTTCTACGTTTGAAAGTTGGATTGATAAATGTTGAGAATGTTAAGAATAAAGTTAAAATTAGAAAAGTGAGCGTTGTCAACTTAAAGGTCTCATTACCAGATCATAAAATAAAAAAAGTATAGTATTGTGACAGTTTTTGGACAAGTTGTAAATTTGTTTTGCGTTGTCAATTGTCACATATTGTTTACTATTGTTTATATAAGTTGGAAAATAAATTGCATGTTAATTGTAAATTATGGAGCCCCAGTGTCAATTTTACGTAGTAAGAAAAAAGCGTCTTTGCAGAATGACAGTGCGACCGGGAAATCAATATTGCGGTGAACATAACCCATTACCCAAAGATGATCTTTGTAAAGTACGAAAAATGCAGCACTACCTTATGTTCTGGCGTTAAATATTATTGTAAATCAATCAGCACTTGGTTCGGCTGCGGTCGACAATAGGTTGAAGAAAAAGAACCATGTTCGTTCTAAGCAAATCATTTTAATAAGTTATGTGATAGTAGAACATAATATCTGTTGTCGCCTCCATTTGTCGCTTTGTAATAACAGCCCATATCTCACTTTAAAACTTTATTGCAGGATGACAGTCGCATCCCGTGTCCAAATGATCCAAAGCAGTGAGTTTAACGCAATTAAAATATGATTCTAATTTTTAAAACCTCAACATTTTAACAAAGTTTACCTAACAAAAACCATATCTTTTAGTACTTGCTATGTGAGGCGATTGCAGAAACATCTGTCAATATGCAATGCGCGACCTCTGGATGATCCAGACTACATTGTTAGAAATGTAAACTGTCCACCAGACAGTGGCACCTGCTGGAGGCGACCCCTCACTCAATACACAAGAAGTCAAATACAACATGTAATTGACAAAATAAACTGCTTATACAAAGGTTCACTTTTTACTCAACTTTTCCTTATTAATTTGTCCCTAGTTAATTGTAATTAGATTTTGAGTAGTTGTTAAGTTGGAAGGTTACAAATTTCAGAGCATGTAGAGGTCAATATAGAGAATGCACCAGAAATGGCTATACACAATGCTGTGCTGGAGGAGTTCACAACAGTAGGACGCACAGAGAGCTCCCTGCGCCATCTGCGGCAGGCATCCAGCATCCTGCACCTGGTGGAGGCAGAGGGGTTGGTGAAGGAGGGAACTTGCTATGTGGAACTGGGAGCTGGGAAAGGTAACATGTTAGCTAATGTACATCTAAAATTAATATAAGTTTTTAAAAACAAATTGTATTGAACACAGGTCAGCTATCGGTGTTTGCTGCAGAGGCGTGGTGCGGTGAGGGCGATGGCAGCAGCGTGATGCTGGTGGAGCGCGCGGCGCTGCGGCACAAGCGAGACAACCGGCTGCGCGCGGGCGCCGCACACCGCCTGCGCGCCGACCTCGCGCACCTCGTGCTGGGCCGCACGCCCGCCGTGCGCGACTCCCGGGCCACCGTTGCACTCGCCAAACATCTCTGCGGCGTCGCCACTGGTTTGTAGAGGAATCTTTGCCACATATTGCTTTAGTTACAACAATAAAAAAACGGTAGCTGGTTTTGATTTTACATATAAGCAAAATTAAAATGAAGTCGCTTAGCTCGATAATGTGACTACAGATTATGCCCTGCGGTGCGTGGTGGGCGCCGGGGACGAGACGAGGGCGGCGGGCCTGGTGATGGCCACCTGCTGCCACCATCGTTGCGAGCTGTCCGCGTACGTCGGCGAGCTGCAGGTGGGTATACAGGCTACACACTGCCTTATTTAAATGAAGTTATTTTGTTGGTTTTTATTCTATGTAAATAAATGAACCGTTTTCAGGAGTTGGGGATCAGCGACGAGGAGTTCAACATAATGTTGGGTGTGGTGTCGTGGGCGACGTGCGGGCACGGCCGCAGCCGGCGGTATCGCGGGGAGACAGACGTCACGGACACCTCGAATGATCTCAACGATTCTGAAAGTGATGAGAGTAGCGAAACAGAAGTGAACCATGAACAACGAGTAACGGAGGAAGAATCAAAAGAAAGAAAGTGCAGCAAGCCGAGCGCTGGGCTGGCGGTGGGGGGCAGGGCGGAGGTGGGGCGGCGCGCGAAGGCGGTGGTGGACTGGGGGCGGGTGATGTACTTGCGGCGGCGCGGCTGGCGAGCGCGGCTGTGCCACTTCGTGCCGCGACACGTCTCGTTGGAGAACGTCTGCATCGTGGCCACCGCTCTCCACTCGGATGGTGGGACCAAATAAAATACTGACTTGCAAATATATTTGTATATTTATATCAATATTAGAAACTAAAACAAAATTCTATATTCTCTATACAAATGTTAAAGTAAATGTTGTAACAAAATGCTAACTGTTTTTACTTTCCCCTCCCTGTGACCTCGGGCGAGGTGTCAGCAGAGTACGTGACGCGACGCTCATAGGGAGGCGGTTAGCACTCGTTCACACAGCCGATAGCCGATACTTATATACATAAAAGTAGTGAATGCGCGTCTGGAATGAGACAACATCCACAAAATATGCAG